CGGCAAGCGGTGACTTGAAGACTTTGAACGCGACATCGCGAGCGGTGAGCGCAACTGTACCGTCCTCAAACCAGAACTCTTCGTCCTGAGTAAAGCCCTCGAGATCCTGCTCTTCTGACGCGACATTCTCGTCCTCCGCGGCCTCTTCCTCCGCCTCCAAGCGTGCACGTTTGCGAGTGACGCGTCCGGACATGGGTACACAGGCAAAGCTGCCGTATCACGCGGGACTGGACGCGTAGAACAACGAATGGCAGTTGATAATGGGCTAAGAGTGCGAGTTGAGTGTCTCTGCCACTCAGAGTGAGCTTACTCCGGGAGAGTCGCAAACGCGTCGACCTGGGGCCCACGATCCTACGGCGCTTATATGCCACGTGGCGGGCCGGGTGCTACCGAGTTCACCAACTTGTGTTCACAATGGTGGTGCTAACCAGTGACAGTCGTCCCCTACCCTAGGCTTACCCTCAAGACGAAGCATTCGCTAATGTGGTATTTGTGCAGCGAACTGTGAAGACAGGTTGCTGATCAGCACGCTCACCTCCAAGTACTTTTCCCATTTTTACTTACTCTTCGCTTGCGTCTTGGCCCCTAAATATTTTCTGGAACCGTAAGTTATGATGCCAACTTGAAGGCAACGCTGCAGTGAGGCTCAAACCACCGTATTTTCCTATAGGGCTCAGCGACTCGGACACCTGAACGTGGCTTCATGCGCTCGCAAAGCAAGCTTTGGCGACAATATGTCCGTTTGCTCCGACTATGTCTACAACTTCACCCCCCCGAAGGCTCAGTCACTGCCTCTTCCATTCAGCTTAGAAGGCGAGTGTTATCGCACTTGTTGCCTTGAGAGAGTACTACGCGGTGCACACTCCTTATTGCTCTTACAAGGGTGTCGATACTGCCGCTACCGGGGAGTCCTTGCCAGGGGATTCCAGTGACATGGGCTTACGCAACATTGTATGACACAGTCATTCAATCCTGCCGCTCCTCTCGCATGCTACATTGATGGTGGACTACAGTAGTCTACTAACAGACACGCCTCAGGATAATGCCATTCGGCGGCGATAGATCGGTGTCCGTCAGGACGACAATGACATGCGCTACACTGTGAGTGGCGCAGCGCTACATTGAGATACGCTAGAGTGAACTCAGCGACTGATTCCTTCCATAACCCATCCAACCACAGTTCGTAATACTTAGCGTCTGTGCTTCCAAGCATTGATATTGCGGACAGACAGCTGCAAGGTGAAGCGAACAGACCACAGGACCATCTTCCGAACCCTCTGGTAACAGTCGGCCTCGGGGTTAGACTTTCAACCCGATGTCCGGATGTCCGCAGAAGTACGCTTGAGCACGATGCTTCTTGCATGACGGTGTCGTGTCTTTTTCCTGGACTGTGCTTCTGACAACAGTCGTTGCGTTACGGCCTCTTCTCCCACTGCAATCGATGAGGATTGTCATGATCACCTTCTAAACTCCGCCTGTATGCAAGTTAGTTGCATCTGGCCGCTTCTCGTCCGTACTGCGGCGTGTACGATGTTCGAGACGGAGGCTTTGCGGCTCGGGACGCCCCACGACGTTCGGCGCTACCGGTCATTATTTGCTTCTCTTGACCTGCAAAAACACGTCGCAACGCGCGCGACGCTCAGTGGAACGGGATTATCCAAGTCTATCGTACTTCAATCTCATTGATCGGCCTTTGCAGAATCATGCACGCCCGATGCCATATCCCCTATCCTCAATGCTGTCATCGCCGCCCTAGCAGGAACGGTGTCGTTCGGTCGACGTAAGCCGCAGTGAATGGTTTCCCTCATCCGTGAGTAACACCGTCTTCCAAGCACCTGAGCGTATCCCGGTCAGTGACGTATGATATGATCCCAGGCAGGGGTTGCACTTCGGGCGGCTACCAGTCCACATACCACCGTGATCCATATGGAGTACGGAGACCAAGAGTGCATCGACTCGAAAGCGAGAATGATACCTCCAGCCCAGCACCGCCGGATATCACTCGTGTATGGGTCAACGAGGCTCTGAGAAACTTCTATCATCGCCCGCGGACGGGTCACCAGCCCACCCCTCCGGCCATAAACTTTCATGATACACACACTACCAAAATCCCGAGCCCGGCGACAGTTCACGTCACACGTGGAGCCGAGTAACACTGTATCCGTTTGGATCGGCGCTCGAAGCAAAATTGCCCGGACGTCGCGAACGGCTGTTTCCTTCCGTCCCGGACGAGCGACGGAGCTGGTGCACATTCGCACTCAGCCACCCCCGTCGCGAGCCCCGACAGTAGTCAATACTGATGCGCTCGCGCAAACGCATCAATATGTCGGCGTCAGGCTCAACAATTGCATGTTGGCGTCTATCTGAGTTTACCCTTCCGTGACGGCGGGCTCATGATTGACAACCCAGCAATTCTCTCTTCCCCGAGCCTTTTTACTTCTGCGCCCGCGCCGCCACCATTCAGTGTTCTCTACTGAGCTTGAAATGACGTTTGCGCAGCCGAAGCACTTATAAACCATGCCTTCGCAGAACCACACCCCCACGCTTCCCAAGTCGATACCCACAGGATGCCCGCCTGGTCCCAGCTCGCGTTTGTCACCTCCTCGGCGCCCACCGTTCTGCTCATTGCGCTGGTCCTCCTCGGCGCATATGTCCGATACTGCAGGAGCGTCAAGTGCGGACATCCCCCGGGTCCAATGGCGTTGCCGCTCCTCGGAAACGTCCACCAGCTCCCGATGGACTATCAGCAGCGCAAGCTCGCGGAATGGGGTAGACAATACGGTGCGTCTATCCATGCGACTCTCACCGCGAACCGACCCTCATATCATCGCATGGCGCAGGTGACGTCGTGTTCGCGAAGTTCTTCCGCACGCCGGCCATCATTCTGAACTCGAAAGAGGCCGCTATCGAGCTGATGGAGAAGCGGAGCGCCAAGTACTCCGACCGGCCTCGGTTCCTCCTCCTCAAGGACCTGTGAGAGAGCAGTCCTACTGCTCGTTATGTCTGCTGACTAACCTCGCTGCAGCATGGGCTGGGACAGCGTCCTCAACAATCTTCCATATGGAGAACGCTTCCGAAAGCATCGGCGGTGGCTGCAGGACGCCTTTACGTCTAAGCCCGTGCTCATGAGCTACCGCCCGATCCAGCGGCGGGAAACGTATACGCTCTTGTCTGGGCTCTGCGACAGCCCCGACCTCTTCATGGACCACATTAAGCGGCGAGTCCCTGCTTCGTTACCTTGACTGCAAACACAAACTTACGGCCCCACAGGTGGGCCGGCGCCATTATCCTCGAGATTACATACGGTTACAAGGTCGTCTCCCTCAACGACCCCATGGTCGAGCTCGCCGATCGGACGACTGTGGAGACGGTCCTGGGCGGAAGCCCGGGTTCCATGCTTGTCGACTTCTTCCCCATCTGTCAGTCCCCCCGTGACTGCTGCCTCCATGACGATTGCTGACAGCTCTTCGCAGTGAAACATATTCCCTTGTGGATGCCCGGGTCTGGGTTTAAACGGCACGCTGCGTACATCAAGAGCCTCGTAAGGCAGACTCTGGATACCCCGTACGCCATCGTGCAACGCGCTCTGGTAGGTCCCCAAATAGCAGTCGGTGGCTAGCTGTCTAACATTTATGGCCCTCAGCGCGCAGGTACGGCAGCCCCCTCCTTCACGGCAACGTTGCTGGAAGAGGCAGTTGCCGAAGGGCACCTAACGGCCGAACATGAGGAGGACATTAAGGGCGCTGCGGGTGTCATCTACTCCGGTAAGTAGTCTGGCCACTTCCACCGGACCTAGTGCGTTGACATAGTTCTTGCAGCGGGCACCGATACGGTAAGCATGGGAAGTGGCGTCAAGGTTATCGATCTCATCTCATCACATTGACGCGGCACAGACCGTAACCTCGATGAAGACCTTTATCCTCGCCATGGTCCTCCATCCCGAGGTTTACAGGAAGGCGCAGGCTGAGATCGACCGTGTCATCGGTCCGGACAGATTACCCGATTTTGAAGATCGGGAGCAGCTTCCGTACTTGGACTGTGTGCTGCGAGAAGTGTTCCGGTGCGTGGGCCAGTGCACATTGCCGAACCGGCGGCGTTCGTCCTTCCTCGACTCATTCTTTCTGTCATTCCCAGCTGGAACCCCCCGGTGCCACTCGGTACGCCCTTAGCCACATCTCTCACGCCGGACGCCTCTAACCCGATGACGTGCAGGGGTCCCCCACAGAGTAACCTCGGACGATGTGTACCGGGGATACCACATCCCCGAGGGTGCCATGATAATTCCCAACGTCTGGTGAGAAGCGCCTCCGTTCCCGATGCTGTGCACGCGTGGTCTCACACACTCTATAGGTGGATGACACAGGACCCTAACGTCTACCCTGAGCCGGAGCGCTTCAACCCAGACCGCTACCTGCACATGTCCGAGGAGGAGTCGGCGCAGACAGACCCCAGGCACCTCGTCTTCGGTTTCGGCCGACGGTGATTGCCATCCACACCCATCACGCTACGTCTATCATTCTGACTTGTGCCTCTCAGGGTGTGCCCCGGCCAGTTCTTCGCGGACGCGAGCGTGTGGCTCGCGGCGGCGAACATCATCGCGACCATGGACCTCTCATTCGCCAAGGACAAGTACGGCCGCGATATCGTTCCTACCGCGGAGTTCATCTCAGGCTTCGTCAGGTGGGCAGCTCCCGCTCTTGATACTCAAAACATCTCCTGATAACATCCGGGGGCCGATATAGTCATCCGAAGGAATTTACTTGCTCCTTCCGCCCGCGCACCGAGAAGATCCGTGACCTCATTGGGCACATGAATGCCGTGAACATTGTGACCTGCTGAACTCACATACCACCGAGATACTTCTCTTTTTTCTATTTCTTTGGACGTAGCGTGATCTCAACTTGTACTTGTAACCTCGTGGGCTAGTAACTACCCACCGGCTTGGGGCAATCGACAGAATCCGTCTTCCTCGTGTGTGAGTTTCTGCATATGAAACAATTACACTGATGGTGAAACGGTATCATGCTTGCCTTCCATATTCGTGGAGGGGACCGTGTGCTAGCAAGCGGCGTGGGTTCGACTCCCGCTCAGTGTATTCCACTACCACGACTGACCTTTTTTAAACCCGTACATACCTCAACATCGACAGAAGACTCACCAAATGGTCCGTTTCATGATGCACGCAACGCTTCCCACCAAGATTAATGAAATCAAGCACTACTTGGATCAAACAGTCCACACCAACATCGTCCTAGTAGTAGATCATGCACATTGCACAATACATTCACCCCCCACAGCCCCACCGTGACCACTCACAGCGGGACACTCCCCGCCAACCGGAAGTCCCTGCTGCTCGCCCCAACCGAGAACGTAAACTCGCCCTCCGGCTTCCTCCACCCCTGCGCGCCGGCGTCCCACACGCTCAGATCGTACCGCGACAGCGTCAGCCTCACCGTCTTCGTCTGGCGCGGCTGGAGCATCACGTCCGTAAAGCCGCGCAGCACGCTCGGCGGCTCGCCCGCGCTCTCGGGGAAGTGCAGGTACAGTTGCGGGATCTAGACGAGGCGCGGCGAGGCGCGCGGAGATCAGCGTCCGGAACAGCTTCGGTGGCAGTATGGAGAGGGGGGTAGTAGGGAGAGTGGGGAAAGTGGGGAGAGGAAGGAGAAGGGGGACGAAGGGGGACGAAGAGGAGAACAGAGAGAGAAGGGGGACGCACCTCGCCACCAGCGACCTTGCCCGTGTTCTTCACCTCGAACGAGACCTCGAACGCGGGGCGGTGGAGCCAGAGCGCCGTCGACCCGCCCTCGACCGCGGGCGAGGGCTGGCCTTTGGCCCACGCCGCCTCGAGCTGCGCGGACGTGCGGTCCGCGTGGCGGAGGGCGCGCACGCGGACGTTCGAGTACGCAAACGTCGTGTACGACAGCCCGAAGCCGAACTCGAAGCGCGGCTCGATGTCGTTCTGCGGCATGATCAGCGATCAGCTACGAGCCATACGCGCGCGCGCGGAGAGGCGCGCGGGCAGTGAAGTGGGGGAGGGGGGGTACTCACCGCGTCAAAGTGGCGGTAGTCGATGAGGAGGCCCTCGGTGTATGGGATCGAGAGGAACTGGTTCCCAGTGCCGCCAGTGACGAGCTGCGCCGAATAGTCCGCGACGCTCTTCGCGATCGTGTACGGCAGGCGGCCCGAGGGGTTGAACGCGCCATACAGCACGTCGACGAGCGCGTTCCCGGACTCCTGGCCGGGGAGGTGCGCCCAGAGCACGGCGGTCACGTTCGGGTGGTCGATCCACGACTCGACGATCGAGGGCCCAACCGAGTGCGCGACGACGATCGTGTTCGGGTTCCGCGCCGCGACGGCGTTGATGAGATTCTCGCCGTTCGCCCACAGCGTCAGGTTCTTCCGGTCGCCCTCGTTCCCGTCCACGGTGATGTACTGCTCCCCAGAGTCGGCGTTCACGAAGACGATCGCGACGTCGTGGTCGAGCGCCGCGTTGCCCGCGCCGTTGAGGTCGAAGTTGTCGAGGAACCACGAGACGCTGGAGCGGTCCTCGCGCGCGCGCGCCTGGATGGCTTCGAGCGGGGTGACGAGGTACGGGAATTCCGTGGTTCCCGAGCCCCAGCCCATGGCGAGTGTGCCGTCGTTACCGCCTCGGTCAGAGAAACCGTTCGGACCACGGAGCGCAGGGCCGGCATCGTTACCTGCGTCCCATGGCGAGGCGCGAGGGTCAGTCTGAGTGATGGGTCCGAATGCCAACGAGCGCCATACGCACCTATGAGCGCGATCGAACGCGGCTTGTTGAGCGGAAGAGCGCCGTCGGTGTTCTTCAGCAGGATCGTCCCTGCGGCACCAATCTGACGAACAAGCTTGAAGTGGTCCGCTTGGACGTCCACGTGCTTGTTTGTCGCCGGATCGTGCGGAGCGAACGCGTTGAAGCTCACTAGACATACGTAGGTGAGCGCTGACTGTGAGACCGCAAGAAACTGAAGCGCACGCACCTTCGGGGAAGTTCCTGTCCTGGTCGAGCAAGTACCACGCCGCGATGATGCGTTGCGCCATGTCGTCGACACGCGACTCGGCAATAGTGCCGTTTTGCACGAACGCAGTCAGATTGGCACCCCACCAGCTGGTTCCGGAGTTGAACGTGATGTCGCCGGGCATAGACATCTGTCACAGAATCTATCAGTATATTGTCTGTACCGTCGCAGCCGCAAAGATCGACGTACGTCCAGGCCGCCAACAGCTGCGAGGGTAGAGTGATGTGCCTGCCAGTCGGACATGACGTAACCTTGGAATCCGAGCTCAGCCTTGAGGATCTGGTTGAGGGTGCGGTCGTCCTCGCATGCCCACGTCGCGTTGAGCTGGTCTGATGGACAAGCAATGAGCGCGGGTCGAGGTGCCGACTGAAGGAAACCACGTACTGTAGCTGCACATAACGCTAGCTACACCGGCCTGCACCGAGCGCAAGAACGGGTGCACGTAAACCTCATGCTGGGTGCGATCATCGACGTTCGAGGAAGACTCCGTTCGCCTGTGCTCCTGCTCGCTGTGGAGGACACAACAGATCAGATTCAAGATGCCACGGTCACTAAAGCCTGGAGGGTTACTACGTACTTGTTGATGTAGTGCTTCGCGCATGCCTGGACGCCGCTGTCCTGCATGCCAAGGATGGTCTCATACGCAGCCTCGCCGACCAAGTACGGGTCCGCGCCAAACCCTTCCCAGTTACGACCACCCTGGGCGACACGGCCCATGTTCATCATAGGGCCGAGGGCGATGTGCACGCCCTTGCCCTTGAACTCGGCGCCCATCGCAACGCCACGCTGACGCAGGAGCTCGCGGTTCCACGTCGACGCGACGGTAATGCCGGCGGGGAATGCGGTGACAAAGTCGGCGAAACGGACGCCAAGAGGAGAGTCCTCGAGACACAGTCCGGGCCAGTCCGCGACGGGGGGTATGTTTCCGACGCAGAGGCCGCCCATCCAGCCGACACCGGTGGTGACGCTGACCTTCTGCTCGAGGCTCCATTTGGAGATGAGCTTTTTGGCTTTGGAGTGGGCCTTCGCCCAGGCGGGTGAAAAGTTGGGTATCAGGCGAGAGCCGGGTGGGGGAGGCGAGTCCGGAGAGGTTGCAGGGAACACGCCGGGGATGGACGGAGGCGAGGGGACAGGGAATGGGTCGAATGGGTAAGAAGAGATCGGAATTGTGATGTGAGCTGTCGAAGGGTGTAGTCAGCATCGGTCAAGTGAATAACGCCTGCACTACTCCGCGGTGTCCAGAGCCAACCTTCGCTCTTCGCACGCACGACGATCCTCCCTAGAACTCGAAGCGAAGTTACTCCGCCCCGTGCCGTACATCACGAGCTCACGAATAGGCCCAAAAGTTGCAGCGACGAAGGAGATCGAAGACACAACAACCAATCACCAGAGCGCTGCTGGGACGGCGATACGGAACGCGAACTCCCGCGTCAATACGCCGTTTCGGCAGCTCGAGGAATGACGGTTCACGGGATGAGGGCCAAAACGCGGCAGAAGTCTGCAACACGCTTATACGCAATATGCGATGTACGGTGCGCATCCAGCTGCCGCTGCAATATTTATGGAACAACAACATGCGACGTCATCGATCCGGACGCGCGGCGCGCGCGAGACGCGACCCGGTCGACCGCCTACATAGCACGACCCCGTGGAGTGGGTACATGCTACATACAGGCGGTGAACCGGGCACGGCCAATATAATGGGAAGGAGGACGCGTTCGTCACGGTATCTGAACGGAGGTAGGGATGCACCAGAAGTATGGAAGGTCGGTGGAATGGGAGAGCACGAATCGCGCATATGGCAATTGGAACACTCACTCGTCTCAATGGGAGGACCTGTCGATGTCGCAGAGGACGCAGGAGTGATCACGGCCGACGACACGGCCGATGAGACCGCACTTGAGACCGCGCTGGACTCGACGCTGATCGACGAGGGTACCGACACCGAACTTGCGACGGTGGACACCGGGATAGTCGAGGGTACGTCCGAGCTCAGGATGCTCGAGGACGCGGACGCGGAGACATCTTGCGCATAGCCGGAGGCGGCGAGGAGGAGGGCGCACAAGGCAGAGAACCTCGGGCTGAGAATGAGCGCCATGTCGTCGTCGTCGGCCACTGGCAAAGTGGGAGCGAGGAGAACGGCCTCAGTCGAGGACGGGGTTTTTATACCGCGCACGAGGCATGGGACGAGGAGGAAGTTGGAGATCCAGAGTGCGATTCTGGTTCAATGTCACATGTGGGGTCGACTCGGACTGGGGTCCGGGGGTCGAGGAGGACCGCCTTCCGTTTGGCGAGTGTAGCACGGAGACGGGCGGCTAGCGGCCACGACGGATGACGTAACGCGTGTCCGACGCGGTCCTCCACGCCGCCGCGACCCTTCAGTGCGGCCTGCCCCCGGTCCGACTCGGACTCTTCTTCAGACTTCCTCCTTCGCTGCCTTTCGTGCCCTCCTCGCTGTCCTTCTCCTCGTCCTCGCCGTCTCGCACCCCGGCGCCAGCATGCCCGGGCTCATCACCGCTCGTTTCAACAGCGCTGGGTTGGCGTCGGGAGCCCGGCTCAGGTGATGATGGACCCGACACATCGCGCCCGAAGCCATCTGCAAGCACAAGGCCTAACCGCGCGCAATCACCGGCTTCCCGCAGCAACACGGTCTGGAGGCGGACATGCCCTTGCGCGTGGCCCGCGCGGCGCGTCGTGAGTACTCCCACCATCCGTCAAAGGTCTCATACTTACTTGCTCATCATGCAGCGGTCCCCTTTTATCCCTCGTCGTCCATCGTGACCACTCGCCTGACCCCGGTCAGTATCTGCAACCGGAGAGCGCGGTCTACCTCGTCTTCGGGCATTCATGGCGTCTGGCCATGGGAACAAATCATCCCGTTACTTGGAACTTGACGACGCATACATTTATGTATAACCTTCGCTTCAGTGCAGGAACACACGGAGTTTGATCTGCAGTAAGCACATGTCTATTTCTTACGATCAGAGACACCAAGACGGAGGTGGCTTCCAGCGTGAGCAGGTGACTATATGCGCTCTCCTTCCTTCTCCTTGACGTTTCT